ATGAGCTGCTGACGCTCTGAGATAAGCAGCAGCAGGAAGCAAGCGTCTGAGTTTAGAAAGGAGGAAGTGGACAAAAAAAGAAAAAAAAAAAAAGAACTACAGAAAATACAAGTGTTCAGTCTGTCTGTTATCTAAGAATTTCAACTGTTTTTATCAAACGCCTGCTAACTTAAGTAACAAGTCGCCCACATGTTGTTTTTATAATCCATGTATTTCCTCCGTCATGTTTTTTATTTTTAAAAATTCAACTGTATTTTTGAAGGAAAAGTAAAAAAACAAAAAGTGTGAAATGGAGTGTGACAAGAAGCCGGTAAAGGAAAAACACACCCACCAGCCACTTTATTAATCTAACAATCAAATCCAACAACAGCTCTGCCATTAAGTTGACATTTAAGAAGCTTCTAGGTTTTCAGTTTTAGTCTTTGTAGACGTAAAGGTGTTGATTGTGTTGTTGCGGTCACAGTGCGAGGTAGTGATGTGGACTGGACTGTGTTCCTAATATTTTACTCCCCTCATGTCTGTTGATGTGGACGATTGGTGCTGATCAGTGCAGAAGCTGAAGCCACTGAGAGGAAGCGGGATCAATGTGAAACCATCTCAGGCCAGACTGTTGGGCAGACGTGTTTAAATAAAGGTTTGTCTGCTGATTAAAGCGTGATCATGTGACCTGCAGGCTCACAAGCAGTCTGTTGTTGTTGTTGTTGTTGTTTAGTGGTGTTTCAGCTGATTCTGCCCTCAGGCTGATGAACCCTCAGCTGATGTCAGATCAGGAGGTCGGTGGTGATGATGATGATGATGATGATAGAAGTCAAATGCTGCTGCTGCTCTCTGACCTTCTTTTGTTTAGTTATTTTCTGTTTCTGTTTATTTATCAGTTAATGATCAGATAGAACAATAGAAAAGCTGTCTGGTTGACTGAGTTTCGATCTTCCACTCCGTCCCTGCTGAACTTCCTCACACCTTCATTTTCCTCCACAAACGGACGCTCAGTTTCACTTCCTAAAGTAAACCAACAGCAGACGGACCGAACCACCTACAGACACGCAGGGGGTGGACCACACCATCCGAGGACAGACAGGGTTGTTATGCAGATTCACGGAGGATGAACCGTACCCCCTGAGGTACATGTCTGACAGGGGATCATTCCACCTACAGACTCATGGGAGTGGACCGTACCACCTGAGGACTGATGGTTGGTGGACCACACCACCTGTGGACACATGAGGGGTGGACTCTGCTGCCTCAGAAGAGATGGAAGACCGTACCATTTACAGACGCATGTGGGGTGGACCATACAACCTAAGGCAGACATGTTGGTGGACTGTACCATACCATCTTAGAACAGATGGGGAGCAGACAGCAACACCTAAGGACAGACAGGGGGTGAACTGTACCACATGAGGTCAAACAGGAGGTGGACCATACCACCTGTAGACAGACAGGTTGGTTGACTGTACCACCTGCAGACACAAGGGAGGTGGTCTGGACCACCAGAGGATAGACAAATATTCTACAAAATTCTTGTCTTCTTCTTCTTCTTCAGTGTACAGTGCAGTCGAGCAGAACCCGTTTTCATGCAGTTATGATGAAGTGTAGTTAAATACATGCAGATTTAATGAACAGCTGGCGTTCATCTGAAAAGTGATTTAAATTAATAAAACAGAAGAAGAAGAAGGAGAAGCACTGACTTCATAAACATCTCCATGTGTGTGTTTCTGTGAACACTGAGTTTTATACATCTGGCTCCTGGATTCTCTCCAGGTTTTAAATTCTGCTGCACATCTCAGAGTTTCCGAACATCACAGATCTGTCAGGCTGAATGTGACGTTTCTCTCCATAAAGACTTGAGTTCAGGCTTCAGTGTGAACACGGTCTAGATTTAATAAAGACTCTAAAGCGGCTGATACAGGGATGGTTTTAACAGCCTTCAAGCTGCTTTTCTGTGGATTTATGTCTCAAACCCCAAAGTTTACCCACTGCTCACTCAGGATTAAACACAAACTGTGAAGCGTCCACAAACAGGAAGTTGTTGCTGGGCCTCCTTCGGGTGAAGCGTACGTCTGGAAGTCGTGGCCTCGGGCTGAATTCCTCTCTGGTGATCTGTGTGCATGTGAAGCATGAGGCTACATGTTTCTGGCCTCCACATTCTTTCCTTATCATGTGCTGAAATGTGTTGGACAGACTCCAGACGTTTCTCCTGCAGGACCCGAACACAGCGAGGATAGAAACACAGTTTAACCCTGATCAGGGGCCACCAGACGCCTCCTGACACTCGGATCTCCACTTTCTCTGTCGCAGCAGCATTTAAATTTCACGTGGGGATGAACGTCATGAGCTGCAGGAGATGCTCGAAAATCAGGTTCCACCCACAAGAACCGTCCTGATGACAGCTGAAGATCCAAATCTGCAGAAACATGCGACAGATTTCCAACAGAATTTACATGTGACCAACTCATATGACACAAGATGGTGGCTCTAAAGGTTCACATGTGATGCATTCAGGTGCAGGTGTGTTCAATTGTTTCACCCGTGATATATTCAGGTGCACACTTGGTTTTTAGGTGTTTCACATGAGACACGTTCAGGTGCACGTGTTGTTTTCTTGCTCTTTCACTGACGATGCATTCAGATGCACATATGTTGTTTTTTTTTTCGGTTTCAAATGTTTCGTGCTCAGGTGCACGTGTGTTTTTTTTTGCTGTTTCAAATTTGACAAGTTCAGGTGCACAGGTGGTTTTTAGCTGTTTCAAATGTGATGCATTCAGGTGCACGTGTGTGTTTTTCTTTTTTGCTCTGTTGTGGTAATTCATTTAGATGTTTTAACTCTCGTGTGGTTTTTGAACAGTTCACCTGTGATGTATTCAGGTGCATGCTGGGTTTCCAAGTGTTTCGCATGTGACGCGTTCAGGTGCACAGTGTATTTTTGTTGTTCTTTTACTCTTCCTGCATTCAGGTCTGCTGTTTAAAATGTGATGTGTTCTAGTGCACATGTGGTTTTCAAACATTTCACATGTGATGCATTCAGGGGCACATGTGTATGTCAACTGCTTCACATATGCCATGTCGGTTTTCAGACTTTTCACATGTGGTGCATTTAAATGCACATGTGGATTTCTGCTGTTTCTCAAGTGACGCGCCCAGGTGCACATGTGTTAGAAGTTCGTACGGGTTGTTTTGTATTTTTAAATGTCTTATTAACGTTCCAAACCCCACATGTGCACCTCAGGACTAGTCAGTACTTTCACACAGAACCAGACAATGTTTTACTCGTTTTACTGGAAAGCAAAACAAGAAAGCTGGAAATTTCCCTGCAGATTAATAAATAAATGCACGTTTGTATGTCATGGTACGAGTTGTTAAGTATTGTGAAACCAGGCGGCTGCACTGAGGAGTTCTGTTAGATAATAAATCTCCAGCAGAGCAGGAAAGTAAGAACCAGAGTTTCTGTTCAACCAGACTTCAGTCTGTAAACGACCTTTCGACTGCGTTTTATTGCTGCAATCAGTCATTAGTCTGCACACATCTCACCTGAGGGGTCAAAGGTCAGGTGTGTGTGTGTGTGTGTGTGTGTGTTAAATACATACAGGTTTAATTAACAGCTGGAGTTCAATGTGTTTCTTCTGAAAACAACAAGAGAAAAACACCCAGAAACACACACTTCACTTCATGGTCACTGCCCTGAGTGTGTGTGTGTGTGTGTGTGTGTGTGTGTGCCTTCCTGTGCTGTGTTTGGACCACACCCAGTGTTTAGTCATGCCTAATGTGTTCGCCGTGTTGACGTCTCCGAGGGTCTGGTTCCCATGCAGCTCAGTGCCACAGTGTGCGGCTGGTTTGCTCTCCTTGTGAGGACATTTTGGATGATTTTAGAGAACGTGGAGCTGCTAGAGAGTCTAAAAAACGTGATCAGTTATTCCATTACAGTGTTTTTCATTCTACACACTCAGGAGTTTTACTGGTTTCAGTCTAATTTGGTAGCTCATGTTAGCAGACTCTCTGCTGTTTCTGTGTTTGCTGGACGACTTTTCTTTATTTGTGGTTTCTGTTCAGGCCGTCTGATCGTAGTATCTGTTCAACATGTCACTCAAAAATAGATAAGCAAGCACTTTATTATTAAGAAAGAGATAATCACAAATCAAAGAACAACTCTCAGCCCGATTGCAAAAGAACTTACACAAGCAGCGGCAGGTTTCTCAAGACAACAACTCATCTTTGAACTTCCTTCTTGTTCAGAGAAACAAACGGCAGATGAACTCCGCAACTGCTGACTATTTTCTTGATTTATCTATGTGGTGTTTGGTATAACATGTCAAAAAATATGGTGAAAAATGTCGATCAGTGTTTCCCAATATTACAGTTGTCTTTTCTTGTCTACAACACAAAGATTTTTAGTTTACTATGAGAAAGGAGGAAAGAAACCAGATAATATTCACATTTAAGAAGCTACAATCAGAGCGCTTACACCCTTTTCTTACCCCTCTGAGCCCCAAACAGTATCTTCCCAATATAAATACTAAAAGAAATCCTTCAATAAAAACCTCTGTGAAAACAGCACAACAGAGGCAATAAGCAGAAACACTCAAAAATGTTTTTTGCAGTAAGACACAGTTAAGCCTAAAAAAAAGGAAAACAAAAATTGAATTTCTTTGGCTTCTTTGATTTAACAAAAGTTGAAAAACACAAAAACAAATCAATATGTTGAACAGGTGTTACATATAGTGGAAAAATGGTGGCACTACATCCATTGCAACTCTACTGCAGACTGAGAGAAAATTCAAAACTAATTGAACTCTTTTTGCAGAGGTAACTAACTTTTAGGGAAAACGAGGCCGTAAGTTGAACCTTTTAAGAGAGCAAAGAAAAGATGAGGAAGATATGAAAAATCACAGAAAACTGAAATGAAATGAACCAATTTAACTTAGAAAATCTGTAAAATTAGATTAAATCAATCAAAGGAAATCGTAAAAATGTGTTTGTAATTGGTTCCTTTTGTGTCTCCACAGGTTCAAGCGGAAGATGCAGCTCTGAATTTGGATTTAAAACACAAGCTTTGGATTTTTGAAACAGATTTTAAGGAAATACATCTCGTTCTTCTTCGCCTCTTGAGGATCCAGTAAATCGCCTGATTTCATATCCCGGAACTTTTTTGAAGTCTTTAGTCTGAGGTGGGGTATACTTGGGGATATTAGTCCACTGAGTGTCGGTGCAGTTTCTGGTCTGAATGCCCCAGGATTATCCTCAGGCTGCGCTTCCTCCTCCGGCCTGCAGGGCGGCAGCAGAGAGTGGCAGCCGGCCGCTGGACAGGCGGAGCATCGGCATGAGCGACTTCTGGCACAAGATGGGCTGCTGTGTGGTGGCCAAACCGCCGCCGGTAAGACACACAAACAAACACACAACAAACATATGACAGAATTTCCCTTTCGCCTCACCTCTGACCTCTCAGTTCTCTTTTTTACACTTCATTTCTCATGAAATACAAAACTTACAAACAGCAACACGCTACACGTTGAAGCAGCGAGCTTCTTTTCCAGGTGTGCGTTGAAGACATGCAGCGTGTTGGCGTTGATGTCAGGAAGCTGTACCGCACAGCGTTTCTCTCCAGAGAGCCTCCCTCCTTCCTCTGCTGTATTTTTAGAGGTTTCTGTTTGTTCCATTGTAGCGCTGCAACAATACACCTTTAATAAACACTCAGACACACAGCCATGCCAGATGTGACTTCACTCAGGAAGTTGAACTGAGCCCCTCCGTGAAGCTTGACGGATATATGCATGGATGGACCCCTGCTTGGTGGAGGTGTCACCGTACCAGAAATGTGGTAGTCGGTACCAACACCATTAAAATTCTATAGTTTTCGATACCACAGCCATACCACCAAAAAAGAAATTTCAACATCAACTCTTCTATACAAAAAATTGGGACAGAGCTTTCATGTATTAAAAACACTGCATTGGTGGTATCGCATTTCTATTAAAGTGCCCAGCTACCTGATACAACAAAAGCTAAAAACAATTAACAATAGCCACTGCATTAGTCTAAACAAGGAACTTTAGTCACTATGTTCGTCCAAACAAAATCGTGTTGGTTGCAACTTTAGTCTAAACAACTAACATTAGTCACTATGTTGGTCCAAACAAGTAAAATTAGCCACCACATTCACCCAAACAAGTAGCATGAGCCAGTATGTTAGCCTAATCAAATAACACGTTAGCCCAAAAAGGTAACATGCCAGTATGTTAGCCAAAACATGTTACATTAGTCCCTACAATAGCCTAAATAAGTAACATTAGCGACTGTGTTACCCCAAATAAGTAATATTAGCAGTTGCGTTAGCCTAAACAAGTAATATTAGCCACTGCCTAGCCAAACAGTTAACATTAGCTACTACAAAAGCCTGAACAGGTAATATTAGTCACTGTTATAGCTTAAACAAGTAACGTTAGCCACCATGCTGCCCCAAACAACATTGGTCCAAACAATATTCACCACTACGTTATTCCAAACAAGTGACCTTAGCTACTACGTCAACCCAAAAAGGTAACATTAGCCACTATGTTAGCCCAAACAAGTGACATTAGCCACTACGTTAGCCCAAACAGGAGACATTAGCCCATACGTTTGTTCAGACAAGTAACATTAGTCAATACTTTTGATTAAAAAAAGTAACATTAGCCACTACGTCAGCCTAAACAAGATAATGTTGGTCGCTATATTATTCCAAACAAGTACCATTATTCACAGCGTCAGCCTAGAAAAGTAACATTAGCTATTTGTTTGCCCAAATAGGTAACTCTAGCCAGTATGTTAGCCTCAACAAGATGTTAGTCACTACATTAGTCCAAACAAATAACATTAGTCATGACTTTAGTGTAAACCACCAACGTCAGCCAGTGTGTGAAGCATTGCTACAACAGACGTCTCACCAACGGTAACATTTCAGGGTGTGGACACTGTGACGACATGTTGTTCGTATGAAGTTACAACTGAAACTTTCTCAGCTTGACATCAAAGTTCAAACAGCTCCTGGACCCCCTGAGGCCTTTGGGCTCCTCCACGGTCCAACCTCAGGTGACCTCAAGCTTTTCATTGTCAGTGACTGTTTGCATGTCACTTTTTGTCGTCACACCTATAAACCTTCAGGAGAATTCATCATCATGAACATAGTAAGTTTTCAGAGACTCCCAGACTGAGCTGGACGTGTCTGTTCAGAGCCCAAACATGATGGTGACGATGATGTCAGACTTTAAAGCAGCTCTGTAACAGGACAAACCGAGACCAGTTGGGTTACGTAACACCGAGGCTGCTGCTCGCTGAACAAACAGCAGAATAAAAACTGTCCTGGCAACGTCTGTGTTGACGTGATAAACAGCGGCTCTGCTCTCAATCACCACCACCACCACCACCATCATCATCATCTTCATGATCATCATCATGTAATCAGTGAGTCATCTGCATCAAGGAGAATGAACAGGCAGGAATTTCACAATAAAAGGCTGAGGAATGACGACTCACAACTTCAAACATAAAGCTGATCACAAACAGCCACAAAACACAAGAAGAAAAACCCACACAGCAACCACAAAGAGACACAAAATACAGGAAGGAAACACAGAACTACCACAAAGAGACACAAAACGACAGGATATGGTGTAAATCCGGTGATCTGGTGTGAATCTGTTTGGTGGCCTCCTTCACCTGGTTGATTGTTCAGGTGCAGAATGCTGGAGGCGGGGCCATATGAGCATATTAAAGCTGTTTCAACATCCTGGTGAAATAAAGAGATTCTCCCAGTTAGTCAGCCAGTGCTGTTTATTCACTGCGGTTGCCATGACGACAGCTGTCCCTGCGGAGGAGGCGGCGGCCTGCAGGCCGAGCGATGATTCACTCCCAGCTGGTCCATGCCAACGTGCTCGTGTGTTAGTGGACAAGTCTGATCCAGGTTTCAGCTGTCAGCCAGAAAATATTCACATGATGTTCCTGAACCAGCCTGCAGAGGAAAAACTGCAAATTTAAGAGGGAGAGGACGGCTGCAGAGAGGCCAACAAGTTCAACGAGTCACTCAGTTCTGCCTGATTTAACAGTTTCTGTTTCTTTCTAGGAATCTCTGCTCAGTTTAACTACTGTTTTCACTTCTCCAATACCTCATTGACAGTTTTTTTTCTCCTGAAAACACAAGTATCACTGGACTTTGTAGCAGCCAACACTTACTGCAGTTCCCTCTTAATTAGCACCGAACACTGTGTCACTGTAGATCCTGAATGATTAGTAAAGATGAAAAGAAACACTAGAGAATGTACAGATGGTCAGCATTTGATATGTGACTCAACAAGCCCCAAATAAATGGGGCAGTAAATTAAATTTAGAAAAAGAAAACTGAAAAAAAGGACAAATGACAATACTTTTGTTTGACTCAATAAATGTCAAAAAAATAAATAAACCACTTTCTGGGGGGGAAAAAAACCAAAAGTTTAAAAAAAAAAGAGAGAGAGAAAAGAAAATATTTTTATTTAAATAAAATTAATAAATTAATAAATTAAATTGAAATTAAAAAATGAAAAGCTACAAAAAATATAATTAAAAAAATAACAAATGTAAAAGTTTGATTATAACATAAATAAAAAAGAAAACTGTAATTAAATTAAAGTAAAAATGCAGTCAACCAAATTTAAAAAATGTAAAAAGTATTAACAGTAAAACATTTTTGTAAATCCTAAAAAGCGACATTAAATAAAAGAATATTTATTAAATATGTTACGTAAAACAATAAATACAAGAGTAAAATTAAATATTAAAAAGTTAAAAATAAAAAACTAATATTAAAAACTTAACACATTTATGAGGAGTTTTCCATCTCTCTACTTTCCAGTTTAACTATTAAACCTCTGAGCTCATTCGAGGAACATCAGCTTGTCTTTTTCTCAAACTCTGGATTTCTTGTGATCTCGCAGACCTGACCTCTTGTTCTGGTCGAGTCCAACCCGTCGCTTCAGTTCTGCTGCGTTACATAAGAATAATCCTGAGGAGCATAAGCCTCTTAAATCACATCTAAATGGTTGTGATTGTGGCTGAGATGTGTTTCCTCACAGCGGGATTAACTGGACTCTGGGAGCAGAATGGGATTTTAATGAGGCGTTCAGTGGCTGGTTGCCAGAGCTCAGAGTGTCCCTGAACGCAGCACAGCGAGCAGCACCGTGGGGAGGCTGAAATTAAAACCTCATTTCACCTGTCAAATGTTGTTTTCACGCAATAAACACGCTCACAGTTTTATCTACGTTAAACCCTCCAAATTTAAGTTCACAAGTGGACTTTTTGTTTTTAATCATATTTTATCTCTCATCTCAGAGGTTTCTTCAGTTCTGACCACAAACAAAAGCACAAAATGAAAACACAAATTCAATTAAGACACACAAAATGATCGAAAAAGAGACCCAAAATGACCACAGGATGATGCAAAACAACCCCAAATGGATACCAAACGACCAGAAAGTGAGACAAAATCCAAGCGAGAAACAAAAAACCCCCACAAAAATACACAATATGAACAAAAAAAGACACAAAACAACCTCAAAGAGACTCAAAATACATGTAAGATACACAAATCAACCACAAAGATGCACAAAACACAAGAAAAAAAACACAAATTGACCAGAAAGAGACAAAAAATACAAGGTAGATACACAAAACAACTACAAAGAGACGCAAAAGACCCACGTAGTCTGTCCTGTGTTAAACACTTCAAATTAAGGTGCGTGTTGCTCATATGGTTTTATTTTGGAGGGCCCGGCAGCTTCTTTGCGTGGTTTGCCTTTCTTTGTGTTGCGTCACGTTTTTTGTTTTTATAACAGATTCGCACAGATGATGTGAGTTTGTGGACATGTGGAGAAACATCAGCCACCTTATTAATGTCACGACTGTGTGTGTGTTTGTGCGTCTGCATGTGTGTAGAAGAAGAAGAGGAGGAAGATTGATCGCAGCATGATCGGAGAGCCGACCAACTTCATCCACCTCACGCACATCGGCTCTGGAGAGATGGCAGAAGGCCTGCAACCGGTCAGACCTCACACCTGTTTACTTGTTTACCTATCTGTTTACCTGCCTCTTTACCTGTCTGTCTGTTTACCTGCCTCTTTACCTGTCTGTCTGTTTACCTGTCTGTCTGTTTACCTGCCTCTTTACCTGTCTGTCTCTTTACATGTCTGGTTACCTGTTGTCAGTGCGTTATGTGACTGTACGTTAAGGCTTTTCCCCAAATTTTCAAAAAAAAAGCATTTTGGGAGCAGATCTGGCTTCAGTCCAACATGAGGACAGAGAGACACTGTCTTCATGTGTGTGTGTGTGTGTGTGTGTGTGTGTGTGTGTGTGTGTCAGGAAGTGTCCCGTCGCGCTGCATCCTTCCTGCTCCCATTTTAGCTTTTCTGTCTCACGGCTCGCCTCTGAAAATTAACTCTGAGTCAAATTACCTGAGAATAAAATTCCAGTAATATGGGAGGGAAAAAAAGTAGATAATGAATTGAAATACATACAAATATGTACAACAAAATAGATATAAAAACTAAATAGCTAAACTAAAATTACATCAAATTGTAAAGGTTGCACTTACGTAACAGGACATCGGCAGCCGGAGTCGAGTGATGGCGTCTGGTGACGTCATCGCTGTGCTGATTGGTCGTTCTCTCTGATGAGGTCAGAGGTCAAACACACCCCTCCTCGCTTCCTGATGCTTCCTTCCCTTGATTCCTCTGAGAATGTAAATTTTATCAGAAACTGACCTAATTTATTATATTTTGATTTAATAAAATAATTTAATATGTAGTATTATTCATTTAATATAAACCCTTTTCCAAATAAAAGTTTTTTTTATATAAATAGTTTTTGTATTTTAATAATTTGACCATTTCAATTAAAAAAAATAATTAACTAAGAACTTGTAACTTTTGTCTGTTTACTAAAATGTTAAGTTGAGCAAATTTAACATGAAGTAAAGAATTTATAACATTTATATAAAGAATTATTAGCTGTACAATTTCCACTGTAACATGTACATTTCATGGATTTAAAATTTAAAAATAGCAGAATAGTGAATTTTCTTAAATAAAAAAAGAAATTACATCTAAAATTTTGGGAATATCTATAAAATAAAGTGACATATGTTTGAAAGATGTTAATTTAGACAAGTACATTTTTATTTATCGAGTTTGCTTTTGTTTGTGTTCTTTCATTTGTTGCATTTGAGGCAATTTGAACCTAAAATTAGCAATTTTGTTTTGTTTTATGTCATTTAATGTAATTGTAGGTGGGGTTTTTTTGTTTGTTTGTTTTTATCCTAATTGATTTTCTTCTTCTTTTTATTGCTTTTTTCCTCCTGATGCCTCTGACCAGCTCTGAATGTACTAATAAAACCTTGTTTCCTTTATTCTCAGTCGGGGTCGGTGCAGGAGCAGATGAGGTCTAAAGGCCCAAACATGAACGGCAGGAACAGCCTGTTATAGCTGGTAAACAAACAAACACACAAACACCTCCTGCCATCAGTGTTTCTGTTTCCACTAACGCTTCATTTCAACACATCAGCCTACTTTCTTCTCAGTGTTGCAGATATAGAAAACACAGACTCTCTTCTGATGAACAAATGCTGTGTTTAAGTTTATACACAACAAACATGTTGTTAGTTTTAATTAAAGATCAGTTAGGCTCTAGTGGAACTCCCATGGTTTTAAGTGGTTCAGCTGCCTTCATGTCGCCTAATTTAATCATCTTTAACTCGTGTTTAATTGATTACAATAGTGTCTTGTTATAAAGAGTCAACACAGCTGAAATAAAAGACTTTTTTTTGTTTGACTTTTTCTCTGCGATGTTTAGATCCTTCAAACGCTGTAGAGTTTTTGTTTTTTTTTACATAATCAGTAGAAGAAAAGGCTATAAATAAGGTTTCACAAAGTATGTTGCATACACAGTTTCGATTAGAACCGTCAGACTAAAAACAACCCTGTTTATTCTAGCTGCTTCTGTAGATGTAACTTTGTGAGGAGGCAGTTTAAAAGAAGAAACTCTGACAAGACAACTGGCAGTGTTATAGACTAATGTTTTATTGGCCCATCCATCTGCCCAAACATCCCCTCTATGCCTCGGTGACTTCACAACTGCGTCATCCTCACTTGTTTTTAACTGTGCGTTATAATAAGCTGCTGCACAGTCGGTCGGTGGACTTGTTTTTCAATGCAACTCAGTCTCAACAAAGTTCCTGTACAGCTGAACTGCACATTCAGTGATGCTTTGAAAGGAACATAATAATAAAATGTAATTGTGATGTTGTAGTGAAGTTGGCCAGTTTGAAAGAGCCATAAATTTGTGAGGATGGAGGCCTAAACCTGAGGCTGAACCTTCATCCAGAAGACCAGAGTTGGATGGAAACCGTCAGACTTATGCTTTGTTTTCTGTCCTTTCCATTGCGTTCTGGTTTGGTTTAAGCATCAGACTTACGTGGTTACGTTTAGGAAAATATCTGGCTTTGTTAGATACTCTTACATGTTAGACGCTTGGTTTCACTACATGTTCGAGGCTTTTCCTCCATTTTTCCTTCGGCCTCGTCTACGATATGATTGGTTGGCTGACGAGGAATGAAAGTAAAGCAATAAAATACATGGCAAAGATGTATAGATTACAAGTGTATTTGCGATATATTACATTAATCCTGCAGAAACTCATACAGAAGATCTGTGATGTTTTTTTTCCATGTGGGGAGATTTTACTAAACTTGCACTGATCAACTTCCTGAGCTCATCTCCAGAGGATGAACCCTCTCAGCATGTTTAGCTGTATGCATGCTATGCACTTAAAGCAGTCAGACCTCTGCAGCCTGTACGGGGCACGAACTGAACTCAGGATCCTTTTTTAGATGTTTCGTGTTTGACATCCTCTTGTGCGTCTGTTATTTACAGGAGTGTATGAAATGAACCCAGACCAGCTGACTGACCTCCTCCTCCTCCCTCTGAACCTCTGAGCCTCTCCTCCACCATCCGACCGCCAGCCGGAGGCCTCGACGGCACCTCCTGCCCTGCTGAAGTGACCTTGAGCGAACCACCTGCAGGGGGCGCTGTCCTGGCCTGGAAAAAGCCAGATTTCACTGTGGAAATTCAGTTTTCGTGAAATGTGGCCGCCCAGCTGTCCGCTTTCGTACATCGACTTTTCATTTTATTTTTATTGTTTATTAGCCAAGACTGAAAATCAGCGCCTGCTGTTAAAAACCATCCAACCAGACGGAGAATCCTGCCCTGCTGAGGTGTTTTTTTACATCCAACAAACCACCAGCTCTGGATCTGATCCTGTAAAAAAAAATCAAAAAACCCCACAAAGACAAGGACCGAATCTCCCAGCATGCCTCTGAGCTTTACCTACTGTCGCATTTTACCACATTAAACACTTTTATTATCGAACTCACTATGAAAGAAAGAATTTGGTTCGGATAATTAGACATGCTGTTTACTATTAGAAGGCAGACTTGGTCGTGGTTTCCCCCCGTCAGTATTACAATAAACAGGCAAATGGCATCAATGGACTCCATTTCCCAGCATCCTTTTCTAGTCATGATTCCCAATAAACGACAGAATGTCTGTAATTTTAGGATCAAAAGTGTTAAATCCCTCACAGATTTTTTTTTTTTAAAATGACTACATTTCCCAGGATTCATTGGGACATTTTCCGGACTGGAGTGTTTCCTACCTGGACTTCATTCCCCAGGTTACTTCATTCTGCTCAACGCTCAGCTTTTAAAGGATTATTACACTTTTTTTTTTCTTGCTGTTTTTCCAGCCTTTGCATTTGTTCAGGGATCACATGGCCACAGTGATGACATCATCGAACTTTATTTCCCAGGATGCCTCAGTGTGGCCAGCCCCACTGCTGGTGCTGAATGATGAAAGACTCTTGTTTTAGGAGATGGGAAAGTCCCATGAATCCCTGCTACACTGGACTGTGTGTGTGTGTGAGTGTGTGTGTGTTTAATACTCCCAGTTTAAATATAGACGTCGCTCCACTGAACTCTGAGAGGACACACAGTTCAAAAGTCCCATTAGAAAACAACCCAGTTCTGTAAAAGTTCTTTGTTTCCACTTTAGACGCGTCTTTTTTGCTGCAGAATTATTCCTCCCGTCACTCGACTGTTCAAACTGCGGTCGGCGGGCCCTAAACGGGTCTTCAGCCGACACATTTCTGTTCCTGAAGTGACACGTGGAGATACTTTTGTTTAAAACATTTCATGCTGCATCTGGTGTTTGATCAAGTGTTTTCCTGCTTTTTATTGTGAGTGTTTTTTAAGACAGATGTTTTTCTGCTGTTTTAATTCATCTGCTCCTGATTCAAACGTTCTCAAACTTTAGGATGTTTTGGTTGACATGTGGGTGGAGTTGTTTAATGGACTCACAGATAAAAAATACTTTTAATATATTCCTATAAAAATGAAATCAGTTTTTGAGTCTCGTTAGAAGAAAAAAAAAGTGAGTTTGTGGTAACATTTTAAAAAAATATCAGCTGTAATTAAAAGAAAGAAAATGATAAAATGTTTTTTTTGTTATTCCAGCACTTTCTAAGAAACGGTCCAGGGCCTGGATTTAACATTGATGCTCCACCACCAACCAAACTCTGTTCAATTTTCTAAATAATTTACAAATTTTCACACTTTATTTATTTATGTAAATGTTCAATTGTATTTTCCAGCAATTATATCCAAATGGTCCAAATGTGTCAAATGCTTCTCTACACTAACTAGCTAGCTAACTTACTAACTTGACTGTCCACTTTGTTTCTGCTAATTTTTGTTTCTGGTTCTTCTAATTAGCAAATAATCCATTTTCACCATAAATCAGTGTTGACTGATTGATTTTTTTCACTTCTGTCACAGTTCCAAAGCTTAGTTTCTGCTCCACATGATAAATTAGGTGAATAAACAAACATCAAAACGGATAAAAGTTCCCCACAACCCTCCACAGGACAGAAAACGAATGGATGGATGGACAAAAGTTTCAAATGAAAGCAAAGCCGTTGACATCCTCTTGTGTTGTATCTGCTCTCAGATGTGCGTCGCTTTGGATGAAAGCATCTGCAAAATGAAATTGTAGAACTGTACAAACAGATGTAAGAAAAAGGTGCAGACGTATGTGAACGCAGCAGTAGCTCCTTGGGGGGAAATCCATCTGAATGATGAATGGTTGCCGTGGAAACCGCTGAGTCACGGTGTTCCCTCTCGCCGTGGCGACCGGCCACTTCCTCCCTGCGGCCGAAACTGATGGAGCCAAAAAGTCTGTTTAAGGAAAATCTGAGCTGCTGCTGCTACTGCTGGTCCTTGTGGTGCGTTCACTGGATTCCTCAGAGTGTGGGAGTTTTTACACTCCCTCCTCTTTCCTACCGTTCCCTGTAAAACTATTCTACTTGGCTCGTCACAGACTTCTATTGGCAAAACTACAGAGGTTTGGTGCAGAAAATGTCGTAAACTTGGAAGCATGAGGTGAAACAACACAGAAATATCATCCATTCAGATGTGTTTTAATGTCAGAAACGTTTTTCGTTCTGCTGTGAACCAGAACTTTTCAATCCCTTTTAATTACTTTGTGCTGACTGAGAGCATCGTTTGGTTGCCGTCGATGTCTTCAAATCTTCAGACCTCTCGGTTCAATCTGCCTCATAGTGATTCTTGGAAACTCGGAGCTGCTCTCAGGATCAGTCGCGGGCTGCTGAAGTTGTTTATCTCGGCCATAGTTTCTCTCTTCCTCTTCCTCTTCCTCTTCCATCCCAGTCTCTGCTTACAGTCCGACAACACTGGAGAGCACTTTCCCTTCAACGTCTCCTGAACATATGACCTGAACATGAAATATGTTGTTTAATTTGTTCCGTCAAGCTTTCTTATTATTATCAAATGGTTTTTATGCTTTATTTGTTGTGGTTTATGGAAGATTCTGTTGAGCTGTGTTTGTATTATTGTCTCATTCTGAATATTATTATTGTAAGATTAATGATCACAAAGCTTTTCTGTGACTTTCGGCACCTTGAGCCTCGGTGGGTCCTGCTGTCCAAACCTGCAGGAGTTACTGAATAAAAAGTCAGTTTCAGCTAATAGTCTTCTTGCAGAAGCTGTTGACCTGCTCACACCTTTAAGTAGACTTTAATCTGATATGGACCAATCAGCAGCCTTCACAGCTGAGGTGTCCTGAGCTGCAGTTCCTCTGACGTCCTCTGGGGGGTTGTTGAACTGTTGGTGTATTGAAGTGAATGAGGAAAACCTCTAGCCAGGCTCACTCAGCTGTGGTGGTTCTGGTTTGTGGTCCAGAAAACTGTGAGCAAGAATTATATTTTATAGATATCACGAAACTCACAGCGGTTTCAATGACGATCTGCCGACCTGGCGGCATCTGAGAAACACACTGAACCTAGAAGTGACCCTGAACCTGCCTCCTGTTTTTACTATTTTACAGATTAATATAAATGTACCTGATTCAGACGTTATCAGGTGTTCTCTTGCCCCACAGATGTCAGCTGTAGGTCGCCTCCTTCAGTTTCTACTGGGGCCGGTATCATCTGTTCGTATCACTGATAAAGACGTCACCCTTAAATCATACAAAGTAGAAGCATGTAACATGAGGTAAACATGAAAAATGTGAATCTCAGTCCAAAACATGACCTTTTTCTAACTACTTTACTAAACAGAAATAAAAAGTGCAAGTAAGCAGTGAGTGAAAATGAAAGTCTAAGTGAATCTTAAAACAAAACGAAGACTAAAACAATGGTAATCAAACCGGAGCCATGGCTGAAGTCACCATCACCCGTCCACCTCCAAATGTGGAGCCACAAAGCACAACTGAAATTAAATACAACAAGTGATACTGCTGATTTAATCGTCTGGAACAGGTAATAAATAATGGAGAAAAGTATTCAGGCCGCACGAGGTAAAGAAAAGTTAGACTTAAATTATTAAAGTCTGGATTTTACAGCGTTCTGAAGCCCAGAAGATGATATTCCTTTTCCAGAAAGTTGCTATCTTGTGTGCACAGTGTAGTGAATTGTACAAGATATTAGATAATAATCCTACTTCTGTTTTGTGAACAAGATAATGAACATCCACAAACGAATATGTACGTTTTTTAAAAATAAATTCTGCAGAAAAAGTAAAACTGTGCACACAATACCGTCATTTTCGAGACACTAATTCATCCAGACGAGATCATCGTTCACTACTTCCGATGCTGGATCCTGATATTTAGGGACCTGATTTTCTAAACTGTAAAACTACTGTTGACATTATGAGAGTGAAACATCAACAGCAGGCAGAGAAAAATTATAGTGCAGTTTGTTTTTTTTTCCTTCAAAGTCATAAATTAACCTCAAATTTAAAACAGAATATAAGGTGTCTTTTTAATTAGTCTTCACACAGCATATGCAGTGAAATGTATTTTGTGTTAAAGTGACATGAATGTGTGATTTCTGTGTGACTGAGGATGACTTTTTGTATTTGCTGTTTGGTTTTGTTATGTAACTTCTTCCTCCTCTGCAGAAACAGAAATACAGATTGACTTTATTCCTCCTCGTTATGTAACTCGTGTCTCACGACGGCTGAATAAATCTGCTGTTTTCTCTCCAAATGTCTGTGTGTGTGAGTGTGTGTTGAAGAATATTAACAGTGATGGTTTGAAACATCGGAAACAGAATACGCATCATTATGTCTTACGTCTTAATTCAGGTTATATTTGAAGAGTAAAGTTGTAGTTTTTCAAGATTAGTTGCGGTGTTTAAAGAATAAAGTGATCATTTTCATGAATAGAATTGTAGTTTTTGAACTCTCGCTGCAATGTTGAAAGGATAAAGTTAGAATTTTTTTCAAATGAAGTCATAGCACTTTATGAAAAATGTGTATTCTTAGGTAAAGGTTGATTTAAATACTAAATATTAGCTCAGGCTATTCATGTTAACGCTCAGATTCTAATCTCTTGCTGTTAAAGCTAATGTTGGCTACCATTTAAGCTAATGTCTGCAGTTCTTTAAGTTAAATTAGCATCTGGTTAAGCGAATATTAGCCGTTGTTTAAGCTGATTATAAGCAGCTGTTTTTAGCACCAGTTTATGTTAATATTAGCAGCTGGTTATAGTTATATGTGCACCTGTTTAAACTAATATTAACAGCTATTAAAGGTGATATTTGCAGCAGTTTAGGCTAACATTAGCAGCTGGTTATGGTTTTATATGCAGCTGTTTAAGCTAATATTAGCAGCTGTTAAAGGTGATATTTGCAGCTGTTTAAGCTAATGTTTGCAGTTGTTTAGGCTAAGATTAGCGGTTGTTTAAGCTAATAACAGCAGCTATTTAAGCTAATAATAACAGGTATTTAGGCTTACATTAGTCGTTGTTGAAAAACAGCAGCTGGTTAAACTAATATTGGGGTTTTTTAAACTAATATCTGTAGTTGTTTAAGCTAATATAAAACACTGTGTAATATTGGCAGCTATCATAGAAGAGGAAAGAAATCAGAGAATATTGTTTTTAATTTCCATTATACAATAGAGCAGCGACCAATAACAAAACAGCTGTCAGCCAATTAATTAATTGCCAGTTATGTTTGTAATCAGTTAATTGGTTTGAACAATCCTTGGGTTGTGGACTGAACAACACACTTGAGGACATCGTTTTGAGCTTTGAGAAACACTTATCGCTGTTTTCTTTTACAGACCAATCAGTGAATCCATTGATGCAGAAAATCACCAACAGATTATTTGTTAATTAAAATAACAGGTAGTTGCGCTTCATACAGCAGAGAGAGCAAGCAAAATGAAGGCTAAACGGTTCATTAGTCAAATTACCACTATTTATATAACACATTTAAACCAACAGACCCAAAGTTCTTTCCAATAGAGAAATACGATTTGTGTTGTAATTTAATTTGCACACAGCCTCACAACCACAACAGATTAATTTGTAAAATTGTTGGTGCAATTATTAGTAGGAAAAGATGTGTGATGGAAAAAAGGAAAAAAAAAGCGAGTGTAGTTTTGTAAAGGCCACAATATAGTTCTGCACTCCTGTAAAGATATTTTTAAATGAGCACGGAGGACAAAATGACTTGTAGGAGTGCTGTGTTGTGTTCGCGTGGATGTCTGAAAACAATGGTAATTATAGCTGTTTAGAAAATGTTCATGATGTTTTTCCTGAATATCAGTATTTTTTCTGACAGTGTCCAGTTAAACCCTCGAATATGGTTGTGAATAAATCAACAGGAACGTCTGTGTTTGTGTGTGTTTCTACATGTATGACCCTGTTCACAGACTGCGTTACACTTGAGCATCGTGTTTTATTACAAGCAGCTGTGCTCAGACCACAGAGCTGTAATAATGATGGTTAAACTGTGCGTTGCCACGGAAACGCCAGTCCAGCACTGAGGAGGAAACAACACGAGTGGAAAAATTAAAGACGTGGTTGCTGGTGGCTTGTTACGAGCTGAGCGTGTGGGAAACACACACGGGCTAAACATGCGTGTGTGTGTGTGTGTGTGATGTCATGTGTTCTTAATGTTCCACCAGTTCAAATACAAACCAACACGCGGTTCAAAACTTCCATTAGAACGTGGCTTGTTTTCCTAAAAGCTCTGCGTTTCAACTTTATACACATTTTAAACCGCAGAATTCCTCCTCCCATCACTGGACCAAGAAAAAAGATTTCTTCTTTTCTTTCTCAGCATCGAGTGTTTTACGGCTTTACGTTGAGAGGATTTGCGTGATTTTGCTTTCCTTGATCAAACAAAAGTTTCTCAGGCTTCAGGAAGGGTTCACATTTTCATGTGTGTGTGATTTCTCCATAATTTAAGTCAGATTCAGCAGATCTTGTAACCTGATCCTAGAAACTGGTAAATGCTGTAAATGTTTGTTTTCAGTTTCTGAATTACCATCCTCCACTTTTTATAGAATTTTTTTTTCCCATTTGGCAAATAAGAAAGTTCAGAACAGAGGAACTGTGCAGTCAAAATGCACGTGTGGGACTTCATTTGAAAGATTTTCTAGTTTCTGAACATGTGCTTGGGTCGCATGAGGCACAACGTAAGCTACTCCGGTTAAAACATGACTCAAAGAGGCTATTTCTGTCTTGTTCTATATTAGGTCATATTTGAAAAACAGTAACTAAAACATGTTTTATGCCAGAGCTACGTGAATCACCACAAAACGTCTGCATCTTATCAACAACACCTGAATGAAATCCAAGACCTCCAGCTGTTGGCTGCCACTGAGGTGCCCCCATAGACTGTGTAACAAATAAAATACACAAATTTAATGTTTGACTTGGAACGAATCTAAAAGGAATCAGATTAGATTACATGTTTTCGTCACCCAATGGATCAGTCATTCCCAAAACTGCCATGTAATCTGTGTTTAGTGCATTCCAAAGTAACGGACCCAGACTTGTGTATGGTAGTAAAAGGTACAACATACATCCAGTGTGTATGTAATGTTAGAATGTTTTTAGTTACTTTCTGGCACTGACAGTTTCTTCATGTGTGAAACACAGCAGAAAGAGCAGTTACCTTGGACGCAGGCTGACACACAGTCTGCTCTGTGTTCCTGTTTATGGAGTTTCCTCAGCAGCTACCTCACTTCCTTCCTGTCAGCCTCCATTTCCTGACCAGCAGCTGGGTTCAAGCTGACCAGTTACAGGCAAACAGACAATCGGGTTTCCATCATTTTGGAGGACATTATGTTCCTTTCCTGCAGAACTAACCTTAATGTAGCCTAACCCTGATCTTAAAACTCACCTTTACAGTAAAATGTAATGATTTACCTCTTGGGCAAATCCCCAGAGTGTGACTGTGTGTCCTCACAACATGAGCAACACAGCTACTCCCCCACACTTGTGCTTTTCTGTCCTTTATAAATGACCTCAGTGTTCCTGCTCAAACAGTGTTCACTCTGATGATCTGAATGGGACCTGCAGGACCTGAAAACTCAGACAGAACCACGTCCAGGGCCACATCCAGCCGTTTGGAGGCCCCAGGAGTGATATGGCCCCTTTCAAACCCCAAAATGGTCTATTATTAGCTCTTTATTTCCCACTTTGTTGGTGCATCGAACAGGTATGACACACATTAGCATTCAAAATCACTCTGTACATGCACCAGATGCTTCTGCCGTCCCTGGACAGATGTAACAATCACACATTTTTCTTAAATGCTGCACAGGTGTTATAAAAACTGAGCATGTTTTTGTCATTTTCGTAGAGCTGTGAGAAAAATCTCTCAGGATGTTTTACGAATATTATCTGTTTGTGTTTTCAAAATGTAAAATCATTACTGCAGTGCGGTACTCATAACGTGTTTTGTGCTGTAACTCTATGTGCACGGCTGTGGCTTGCCGGATCCATCTGTGATCTATCTATGTAGTGATCGGCATGCATCTTGTGCACACATGGCTGTTGGTGTCGTGTTTGGTGAGGACATCACTGAAAACACACTGTCCTGAAAGCATTGCACAAAGCAATTTTTAGCCAAAATAAGATAACCGCACATCCAAACGACTTCAAACTTGACACTGGACATACTCGGGTCTCCAGCCACGCACCCACCTAGTTTGACGTAGATTGACCGAACAGTTGTCGAGAAAAACAAAGAACATACAGACATTGATGGAGTAAAAGCATTTCTGCCTGTAGGAGATTTTTTCGTTGTAATTAAGAGGCAACATCCTGGGTTCAAAAATAAGTGCCAAAGACTGCAGTTCCTAAAGTGGCAACTTGAGGCTGGCTTCAAAAGTGAGTCAATCCCCATAGACTTCCATGTTAAAATGTCCAACTTTCCAGCAGAAATGAACATGTTAACAGCCTGATACAAAAAAACAGCTGATTTCCCTGCTCATGACAACTGTGCAATAGTCCTTTTTATACTACCCGTCCACTGCCATTGCATTAGGGCTTAAAATTCTGCATAATGAGGTGTGACAGGTGGGTGATCATGGCTCTCAACTCTACTCATGCGCCACCTTGTTGCTCATTTTTGGATAAGCTGGGAGTTAGGAGGAGTCGGGTCCTCCTAAGATGACGACGAAGACCAAAGCCACCACACTGAGCTTCAAAACTGCTCTACAGGAAATCTGTGGTAACATCACAGAGGGGTCGTCCATCTCTTTATACTGTCAACGGTATGAATGTGTGTTGACACGTCCAGCTGTGTTGATACTTCCATCACACAGTTTCCTGGATAAACATGGCAGTGCTTGGTATTGCAGAAGCCTTTCAACACCTTCCCCCACATGTTCTCGCTTTACTTTAGTTTTTTTTTTTGCTCTGACAAGAATCTCTGAAACTATAAACAGTTGTCTGCTCCGAAGACTTCACGTTGGAGTTTTCACAAGCATCAACGCTAATGGAAGAGGTTGGAAAAAGTGGGTCAAAGCAGCTGGTTAAACATTAACTAGGGCTACTCAGAATAGTTTCAAACTCAAATAAACACCACAATACGGAAGCAGCAAGATTTTATTCAGCAGCAAAACAATTTCCAGAAGTCTTGACGACTTCTGGCAGAGTTGATGGTTCAGGAACTGAAAGTGCGTCGAGGAGAGTTAGAACCTTCACCAGGTTGCAGTAACCTCGGATTGAAAATTACTGAACATTACTGAAACCTCTTTGACAAGTCAAAGCATTCTAGATCATATTTAACTACAACCATTAAAATAAAAAAACACCTTTAAAACATCTCCCTCTGCTCTGTATGACCTAAACTTTATGTTTAAAAACGGGTTTACATACAAACATCCTTACAAAAACAAAATGAGGCGTTTTTAGATTTTCCGAAGATTTGTTGGAAAGTTTGTTTTAAAAATCCACTGCAAAACTCAGACTTCAGAAAGATGATTATTCTTTTTTTTATTATTCTTTTTTAACTCATTAACATTAAACAAAATCTTAAATAAGATTATAACTTGCTGTACAAGTGAATAAATGCTTGTGGATTCTAAGACGCGCTGTTATTTTAGTTCGTGGTGTTCGCTGTAACTGTGTCTGTAGAAATGTGCGTCATACTGTAATAAAAATATACAAGAACAGTACAACACTTTGAAATGTTTGCCCTATTAATGAAATGGTTTAAATTCAGGAACACATGTTTTCTTTCTGTTTATCTGATACTGTGCTTTTAGTTTGAAACATCAGGATCATCTGTTATAGCCCCCATTAACACTGTTTACTAAACTCATGAAGTCTGACTTTTTTTTTTTTTGTTCTTCATCGCCATCTTGGGTCAAATCTGAGCAAAGTGGTGCCCGCTGACAGAGCCAGGGTTTCTCCTTCCACACTGACAAAGTATCTTTTAGTGACACGCTGCAGCGCCCCCTGCTGGAGGAGGACTGGAGCAGGCAGCTGTTTGTAGAAATACAACAGATGGCAGGAGTTTTACCCGGACAGGTTCTGGTCATACCTGCCAGGAAAACATAAAACATCATCAGGAAAAGACACTGAAGCTGAAAATCCTTCTGTTTATGCTTAGAGTCATCATTTAATATTCTTAAAATAAGGATCTAGAATATTTCTATTCAAACAGATTGATACTTTATAAAAACATTTTGGTTAATATTATTTATAGAATAATTATTTGTTATATATTATAATGATACATTTAATTATGAATTATGTAATAATTAGACAATTCATTTTATATACATATATATATATATATATATATATATTTATTATTTTTATTTTTTTAAAGATAATTTTAAAAGGTTGTTTACTGAGGATAATTAATTGCTTCCCTTAATTTAATAATAATCCAAATAATTTAAATATGATGATTTAAATAAGTTTTAAAAACAATAAAACAATAAACAATAAGTTTATTTAAATGTGTCTTTTAAAAATACAATTTTAATATTCATTAATTTAATTTAATATTTAAAATGTGAAATACTCCTAACACTCTTTCTACTTCTTATTTGGCTCAAATGAACAAATGAATGAATGAATGAATGAATGAATGAATGAATGTCACTCACTCTCTGACATAGTCTGGGATCTGCACATGCTCAGTGGGGATGAAGTCAGAAAGCTCCTGGAGGCTGTTGACAAACTGGAGCTTCCTGCTGAACTTAGAGCTAAGAAGAAGAGGGAAGAAGAAGAGATTGCCAGGAGGAAAAGACTCAAAGAAACAAAAACCAGCCTGGTTTGTTACTTGTTGCGGACCTGATGAAGGGTTTGATGATGGTGGCAAGAGCTTTGATGTACCAGGTGGGGTGAACCACATAGAAGCCCTTCAGGTTCTTCCTCAACCTGCAGACAGACAGACAGACAGACAGACTTGTAAAGTGAGTGTAAATTCATTGATAAAGTTTTAATAAAACAGCAAAGGACACACAAAAAAGAACCAAAGTTAGAAAAAACAAAAAACAAAAACCAGTTAGAAGCCAAATGGTCAAAATGGAAAAACAATGTATTGATATGAAAATTTGCTCCGTAACAATAATTCCGTGTCTGAGCAAAATGGCATTTACTGACATTTTTATCGGGTTTTTGTGGATCCTTTGCTGTTAAACTGGGAGGATGTGACGCCTCCTGCTGGACTCACACTAAAGGAACAGAACAGCAATGACGGAGAGAAGAGTTTGCCTGACCTCCTGTCGATGGTGGTGTAACACTCCTTGAGCCAACTGATTCCTGGAAGTTTGTCCTTCTGACCTCCAGCACAGAGATACACAATCACATAGTTCTCCGCCACCATCAGCTCCAGAGTGCCGACAACAAACCTGACAGACAGACAGCAGTGAGGCCGACATAATTGCATCAAATCAGAAACAAAACCTCATAATTCAGTAATCTGATCAGTTCTACTGTCTGATGTACAGCTGAACAGTGAGGATCAACTCTGCTGACTGTCAGCTAAACTGGTCTAACTGGTCGCACTGGGACACATTGTGCCCTGAGACAATGTTTTATTTACCTGAACAGGTTGTCCATCACATACTGGTAGTTCTGCAGACTGTTCTCCGGCAGGTAGCAGGAGGAAAACACAATGATGTCATTCATGCCGTCTCCATAGTAACCTGAGAGATGACATCAGGTGTTAAAGGCACTAAAACATCATTCAGTTGATTTTATAAATACACTTAAAAACAAACTTCGTCTTTACACTATGATAAAGGTTTTGGTTTGGTCAGTTTAGTTTGTTTATGGGTGTAGCTAACGTACACTTAGCTTCTATGTCTGCTTAGGTTAGAGTTAGCTTTAACTTAGAACTAGCTTCAGGTCTGGTTGGATTCAAGCTTCAGCTTAGTGTTTGTGTCTATGTCCAGTTAGCTTCAAGCTGACTTCGAGGTCTAATTAGCTTTGAGCAAGCTTCTCGACTGTTATCTTAGAGCTGGCATCTAGCTCATTTGGCTTAAAATCAGTTTCTAGGTCCAGATAGCTTAACCTCACTTCTAGGTCTGGTTAGCTTAAAACTAGCGTCATGTCCGGTCAGCTTAGAGTTAGCTACTTGGTACAATAAGCTTTAAGTTTATTTCAAAATCCAGTTAGCTTACTGTTAGTTTCTATTCACATTGAGCTCAGAGCTAACTTCTAGATCCAGTTAGCTTTGAGTTCGTTTTTAGAACAACCTAACTTAGCGCTAACGCCTTGATCCCTCAGTTTATGGATAGTTCATATATTCAGTCCAGTTCAGAGCTAGCTTCTTGACACCTTAGTTAAAAGTTAATTTCTAGTTGACAGCAGGTGTTGAAGGTGGAGGCGGGGCACAGGTGAGGGTGAGACAGGTAGCTGGTCCCTACCTCCGTGTGACAGCACTCTGAGAAATGGCTCCAGGACGCTCATGTTGACCCGGCTCTCCTGTGGAGGCTCGCCCGTGGAGAAACAGCGCCACCTGGTGCCCTGGCTGTCCACCATGTCCTCCCTTTCCAGAGCTCCCAGGCTGCTCTGGTCGATGCCTGATACAGAACCAGTCTGAGACAAGAACCTGGGGCTGGAGCCGCGGGGTTTGCGGCGGCGGCCGGACGCCACACCTAGACGTCGCAGGTCATCTGGAAAACCATGGACAAGACAATAAACAGGTGGTCACAAAGTTTAGCATCTACAGGCTGTTTGACCTCTGACCTCTGACCTTCCACGTCCAGGTCGTAGAGAGGAAAGGGCAGTGACTCGCTGTCAGAGGGCGTCTCTATGGCGTCCAGGTCAAAGTCGAGTGTTGCGTCGTCTTCATCATCAGGTGAGGGGGAAAGGAAGCCTATAGGGAAGTCATCAGAGACTGCCGACTCGCTGCGATCTGAAGAAGAAACAACAACATCTGAACTCGACAACAAGACAAAGTGACAAGAAGTTTGTAGTTCCAGCAGACAGCCGCAGTTAACGCTTGTGATTGATCACATTAACAGTTATGGTTTTGCTACCTAATGACAGACTGAGCGCTGGAGCCACCAGGACTTTCTTCTTCATTGGTCGGGGCCCTGACAAAGCCAGACTGCTAGGAGGAGCTACAAACAGGAAATATATATATATAGGATCAATAATACTGACATACATGTTTATCTTTTTGTGTTATTAAAAATATAAAGGCAGAATTTTGTTTGTACAGATTTGTTCCTTTGTACCTGGTCTGTCTCTGGTCGGCGTCAATGACTCCTGTTCAGGCTCCACAGGTGCTAATGGAGACAGAAAGACAGGAAGTCAGAGAAAAAACAGAAGATGAAGAAGTTGAAGGAGGATGAAGGAAGATGGTAAAGTTACCTGGCTGATAATCAGACACTTGCTGGATGTCACTTGCTGACAGAGTATGAATATGATGAGAACATGCAAGTTTAATCTAAAAGGTGCAACAATGGTGGATGAGTCTTTCTTACCCTCCTTGTCATCCTCAGTCTCCTTGTGTTCATCATCTTCTTCAGCCTTCTTGTCTTTCTCATCTTCTTCAGCCTTCTTGTCTTCCTCATCTTCTTCACCTTTCTTGTTTTCCTCACCCTCCTCATCTTTCTCACCTCCCAGCTCTTCCTCACCCTCCTCATCTCCAACAGACACTTCCTCCCTGCATTCTTCCTCTACCTCCTCCTTCTCGTCTAGAAAAACACACAAAAACAACAACAACACCTGAGAGTAAATGACAGAGACTCACCTGAGACTGACACAAATCTCTTGCACTCTTCTTACCTGGTAAGTCAGCGTCTGCCGTTGCCACAGCAACGCTATCTCCTTCACTTTTCCCCTCATCCTCTGTAAAGAAGCGTACAAAAATTAGCTGCACATTCGAGACAGACATTGGTTTGCCACATCTGCCACACCACAAAACAGTAATACAGTTCAGTACAAGGATTTTTAAAGATAAAAACTACAGATACTTGCTCAGCAAAAAACAAACAAACAAACAAAAAAAACATCCAGAAGTTATATGAAAACAATACATTTTTCTCTGTTTCATAAAACCAAGTAACATTCATTCACATTGCTTTTTTCAGAAACTTATCAAGTCATATCATCAATATCGAGATTATCCTACATCTACTGTTGAGTACCTGTTTGATCATCAGATGGTGCAGCAGCAGTGGCAGCAGTACTACTATCAGCTGCAGCAGCGGTAGTAATACTGGTTGTATCAGCAGTCATACTGTTGGTGGTTTTGATGCTTTCAGTGTTTCCATCTGATAGAAATGACCTGCAAACAATAAAACATGGACACGGATATTTTCCTGTTCTTGTGAGGGTAAAACTAAAGAAGTGTTTGATTAAAACAAAACTTGTTAAAGTGACACAAACACTGTCACAGTGGGAAAATAAGAGATATTTGAAAAATATCAGAACGAATATCATCTTTTGTTGTGCAGTTTCATTGGTTTAATGTCTTTGTTTTAATTCACATTCCTATATAAAGAGAATCAAAGGGTTGTAGTTGAACTCAGACCTGACTGTTTCTTCCTCTTGCTCCTCTGCTCTGGACTCCATGTTGTTCCTGTAGCTGGTGGAGATAAATTACATCGTTAATATTTCATACTCATGTTTGATTAAAACAAAAACAGAAAATTATAAATATTGTTATATAAGCGTCTGGTCGTCAGTCCACGCTTTAGCCAGGAAGTGTAGCTCTGTAGCATTGGCTTAAAGCTGCCTCCCTGTCCAGATGGCTCCAGTTTGCTTAGACCTCCCTTCTAGGTCCAGTTAGCTTAGAGCATACTTCTTGACAAACTTGTTTAGAGTGAAAATCTAGATCCAGGTAGCTTACAGTCAGTTTGTACACTGCTTAGTTTAGAGGTCATTTATACGTTTAGGTCTCAGCCTCTGGTCTGGCAACTAAATTCTGCATAACAGCAGCTAAACAGAAGTTTATAAAGACTTTGTTTAGTGTTTAAGGAAATGCTGGAAGTTTGAAACTAATGACGACAGTATTTCTAAACTCCTGACATGTTGAAACGAGAAAGAACTGAAACAAACTGAACCTGTTGACGCAGAGCTACAAGATCTGACATATGACTGCATCGAGTGTGTTCACTGAAACTAAACCAGGAAAGCAGACCTCATCCACACGCTCTTGGCCGCAGAGTGTGAACTTGACTTGTTGGACTCGTATCAGACTGCTGCAGTAATCTTTATTGATACAACTCTTATCTGACACAAACAGTTTACCTGGAAGGTCAAAGAAAGGTTGAGCTACAGAATAAAGGTCCAGCGACAACACCGTCCAAAATGACAACATGAAAAACAAAACTGAAAAGACTTACAGCGGCTCAGTGAGTCGACATCCAGGTAAGGTGAGACAGGTAAGACAGATGGGTTAAAGCCAAACAGCCGAGATCACCGAGAAACCTGCTGCACACCTGGAGGCTCACCTGATGACATCACAGCCACTTTTTATGACTTATGATCGGACTCTGACACCTCACCCCTCCACTAACTCATCTGTCTCTCCCTCCGTCTCTGTACTTCCAGCCAACAGGACAACAGAGGTGTGGTACGTTGCAGCGACGAGGCCCCCGCCCGGTTACCGTAGCAACTATGACTATAGGAGCAGACGTGCAGGGGTGGAAACTGCAGCGTGCATGTTCCTACCTGCTGAGTGTGCATGTGAGCGTGCATATGTGTGTTTGCACACAGGTTTGATTGCACAACTGCTAAGAGTTGTTCTGTTGTGTGTTTGCTCTGAGAGTTTGGAGTGTGTGACAAAGACTAAAACTTCAGAAGCAACACACAGAATTGTTTAATGATTGCAAAACAACGTCGGCACTTATAAGCTTCTAATTTGGTACATTTGTAACTCTAAAGATGACAATAAGCTTGTTGCTCCTCCTTCTTCTTCACCCCTCCCATCCTCCTGAATTTCTCCATTAAATGCTTCCTGGTCAAAGTCCTTCAAAATCCCTGCAGTAAGACACAAGGGACACATTCACAC